CTCATGCAATTAGAGCGCTGACACCGTCCAACCGCGACATGATCTCTGAAGACGACTGTACATACCTGAAGAATTCCTATACCTAGACGATGTCTTACACTTACTTAAAAAAACACCGTAAGCAGTAACTTCAACATTCTTTATTCGATTCAGAAAAACAATGAAGAATGATAATGATTCTGTCATACCCATTGTTGTCTTATGTGTGTAAAAAAAATTTAGAGCTCAATATATCAGAACCAAGCCAACGACCGCTATATTAAATATATTACTAACAAATTATACTTTTATATTAGGAATAATAATTGATCTTGCAGTGTGCAATACATAATAATAAGTTTTTTTTATAGTTGCGCCAAAAATGTATTTCCTTCTCACTTTAAAATAGTGTAGTTTAGTGTGTTAAGTGTTTGGCGAATGACTGAGATTGATAAAAACTTGAATGAGAATGATGTGAACAATATGATGGATAGTCCGATTTTCTATGGTTACTATTTTTAATATAAAGTTTTTGTAAATAAGCTTATGTACGATGTAAATCTTCGATTTCTGTGATATAAATATACTTTAATTTTATCAATTACTGGATTTTTATTTATTTCAGCAAATCGACCAGAATCACTTGTTTTTGAGTATTGAATGATTTGAAATATGCATTATCACCTGAATACAGGGTATTTCCGTAAGTGAAGTGAGTGACAACAGATAAGAAAACACAAAACGAAATTAAAGAACTGATATTCGTCAGCTATATGTTAGGTTTTTATATAAGACCGACAAACTTCGTATACGGATTATTCTCTACCTCATTTTGAAGAAAAAAGTTTTCACCAACGTGTTGCAGAGTGTTGCAGAGTTGAACTTTATTATAAAATATTCTGACACCTTGTCACTAAGTCATTAAACAAACTATACAGATTGATATCATAACAACGTTGATGAGTTCAACACCCCTCTCAACGTGTGTGTGTGTAATCTTCAATTTTCTTCAAATGTTTCTCGAATTTTTCAGCACGTAGTCCTTTCGTGAATATATCAGCAGGCATATGGTTAGTTGGCAAATATTTCACGACCTCTCTCACATAATTTTATTTTATTTTATTTCAGCGGTACACCATTTCAACAGCCGAGGCCAATTACAGAATGGGAAAATAACAATTTTGGTCCAAAATCTATTTGGATATTGTAACAAAAAACAAAACAGAGAGAAGGAAATGAAGATATAAACATTAAATAAATGACACACTGCATAACGATGTGTATGAACTGAAAAAAACTACGGTGAGAAAAAAGTTCATACAGAGCGCTACAAACAGTGTTAAAACAACAACAAAAAATATAAACACATTATGGTAAAGTAGTCCTTTTGATGTCTATAGGTTTGCAGGAAAAATATCTATTCTATTCTGAATTGACAAGTAATCACGACAAATTTTATACAGAGGCGAAAAAAGAAGAACATTTGTTTGAGCGACTGGCTGGTAAAACGTGGTGAAACAGCGTACAGGTAGCCTAGGAACGTGCAAATTAATACGTGCAAGCAGGTATGGGGAGTCAATACGCGAGACTAAGATCTTGTGTAAAAATAAAATTCCCAAATATGTACGACGTTCTTCTAGGGAGTTGACTTGAAATCTAGAAAGAAGAAGAAACTATCACTATACGTGGTGTATCCAGGATTCCAGACAACGCAGCCATATTCAAACCTTGACCTCACAAGCGCATCAAAAAGGAGTAAGTAGGTTTTAATCCCAGACAACCATTTGGAGTTTCTGATAATGAGACCCAGTGTTTTAAAACCATTCGTGACAACAGTGTTCACGTGGTGAGAAAACGTGAGTTTCGAGTCGAAGATTATGCCTAGATCTTTGAACTCAGTCATTTTTTGCAGACGCTGGCCGTTAATGGTGTAAGAAAAATCAATAGGTAACTTTTTGCGAGTGAAAGTAACAAAATTACACTTTTTTATATTTAGAGGCAATGAGTTTATTATACACCATTGATTTAAGCTGTCGATGTCATTTTGAAGACGATCGCAGTCATCTAAAGAATATATCTGCCTAAACAATTTACAATCATCTGCGTATAGGAGGATTTCCGAGTCCATTCCCAGGCATATGTCATTTATAAAAATTATGAATAGTAATGGGCCTAGCACAGATCCCTGAGGGACACCAGATGATGCTGTTATTTTGACAGATTCAAATCCATGGTACTGAACTCTCATATGCCTCTCCATTAGATAGGACTCCAAAAATAAGATGAAGTTGTTGGTCAAGTCAAAAGAAATGAGTATATTGAGAAGTATACCATGGTCAAGCCTATCAAAAGCCTCAAAAAAATCTGTATAAATGACATCGACCTGGGAAGACTTATCCAATTCTTCAGCAATAAATTGTGCAATATGCACGTCAAGTAACTTATTGTTGATCTTTCCTTAACGAAACCATGCTGATTATCAATGATCTGACATTTCACATGTGCATATATGATATCGTATAAGACCATTTCGAATAATTTACTGAAGTTACATAGTATAACAATCGGTCTGTAGTTTTCAATCAAATTTTTGTCACTTTTTTTGAAGATAGGACATATTTTACCATCTTTCCAAACATCGGTAAAACATATTGTTGGCGGTGCTAAATTAAAAATGACTGATAACGGCTTAGCAAAGATGATAGCGCAGTCTTTCAGACGAATATCTATATGTTTAGTGCGAGAATGATATATAGGATTTCACATCAATTTCTATACACCTTGATTATCACAGCAGTAGATAGTAGTCGGAATATGATCGTCTAAGGTTCCAATTTCTCTGAAAAAATTCCAAAGATTTACTGTCTCCTTCGCAGCTTCAGATAGTGCAACATATTCTGCTTCCATACTTGACAGTATTATTGACTTATGTTTTCTCGCTTCCCATGTAATTGGTCCTTCAGCTAGCATGAACACGTAGCCAGTATACGACCTGCGATTGTCTAAATCTCCTCCCCAGTCTGCATCTACGAATCCTGTGAGGTGATTTCCGGACTTCTTTAAATACAGTCCATGAGTTTTAGTTTTATTCAGATATCTGAGTACTCGTTTCAAAGCTATCCAGTGTTGTTTTCCTGGGTTGCTATTGTATTGGCTTAGCACACTAACAGTCGTGTTGAGACGGCCAAGTATAGAATAGATCTTATAGCTTGTCTATACGGTACGTTTTTCATTTCTTCGACTATAACCATTGTTGCAGAGTGAAGAAAAGTAAGGAGAAACTTTCAGTTGAACTTTATTATAAAATATTCTGACACCTTGTCATCAAGTTATTAAACAAACTATACAGATTGATATCATAACAACGTTGATAAGTTCAACACAAAGTATGTCCTAAAATGCATCCCATCTGAGATACAAGGTGTCGAGAGTGGTTTATATTAATTCCTTCGGAACCCCTGGAGAAAAAAATATTGAAACTCGGTATTGATAAATGCAGGGTTCCATTTTCAAATTTTGATTTCCAATGGCTTATATCGCCACATTTTCCAATATATTTTTTCTAAGACAGATAGAATGTGAAATTGGTGTGTGACATTAGTGTGCCTTGAAGTGATAACATTTCACATGCCTGAATGTAGAGGTCTCTGAGATATTTGTGATAATCTAAGGATATGTCTTGTGGTAATATTGAGTAGAGAACCAATTTACTGCGTGCCATATTCGCATAACGCAGATTTTTAAAACAATATCAGAAAATTTCCCAACCTCCTGTACATTCTTGAATGTTGAAAATATTGGCATATAGTGCACTGTATGTCCTGTGGACACCACTTTGGACTTACAGTGGATGTCTATATTTGGACGTATAATGAATGCTTATATTTGTACTCACAATGGATGTCGATGTCTGAGCATCCATTGGACGAACCAAATTGGACGTTAAACGTCCAATGGATGTTCATTGGATGGCCTGCGGACACCACTTTGGACGTACATTGAATATTTATATATGGACGTATAATGGACGCTCATCTTTGGTGATCAAACGATGAATAATCAATAGGTAAGTACTTCTATTCATATATATTTTCATTGTCAATTGCATTATATATAAATATATCGTTGATTTATGTCTTCTTCAGTCTACTTTGTATCCTTGTTCCTGTAGAAGACGAGAAATATTACAAGTTAGGTATTCTATAGGTATTCCTTAGTCGAAACCTATACAGTGTAGAAATCGATTGTCGATATCAGAGTCGATATCCCAAATTCTGTTCAGTTTATCTCTGACTGGTGAATAAAACCTTATTCGAAAAAATATTACATTGCTAGGCACTTTTTTCTTGACGAAGCATAAAATAATAACTGATAACTATATCGATCAGCTATATGATCGAAGATACATTAGAACATACATCATGTTGTCATACCTGCTTTGAATTATCTGGTCCTGGTCCTAAATATTCTGCATTCCATAATTAATCACAAACACAACATGATCACGATCATTTATCAGCTGACAATGAATGGCATCATGCCAGTCGTTACTTTCGAGCTCGTCTCGTTCACTGACCCTTTGTATACCGATAGATCCGACCTTCAATTCTTACCTCCCCTCCATCGCGGCAGAAAAAATCTCACGTCCATCTCTAAACGTACAATGGACGTTCAGTTCACGTCCATGAACCTTCAGACTTGATGATTTCAAATAGATATCCAGTTTGAACAATTCTTTATGTACTCATTAACTCTTCATTCATGAATACTTGAACTAAGAATGGCCGTTAAATTGACATCCAATGGAATTTCAATTTATATCATCAATGTACGTCCGTCTTTCTATTTTTTTATTTAATGAAAAAGCAGCATCCCTATATTTCAAAAAGCAATTCAACCATGCGTTAGTGATTTCGTTTGGGTTCAGATTATTCTGGATGATGATGATACAGTAATTACAGAACATATAACTTAACTATTTATTCATTTTATTTACATTCATCAATATTTTTCATTTGGTATCCAGTTCTATTATTGATTTATGGCAAAATTGGCAAAGTATGAACTAATATATAACAAGATTTCACCAGTCAAATAGGGCCGACAAAAATCTTGAAGGAGGTCTGTACGCTGAAATCAAAATAATAAGAATTGTAAGATATCATACATTGTCTGTCTAAAGGAGCACGCGCACTAAATCGATTCGGATTGGTCGGATCAGCTCGGCACGTCAATTTATACCGCGCACTGGATCGGCAGTATATACTAGAGTCTCGAGATCATACCCGTGTGTTCACCGAACACGCCCGATCGTTGCCTAAGCGGTACTTCGAAACGGAACACTAGTAGTTGTGCCTTCTTGTTTTGCATATATTATAGGTAGACATCAAATCAATAAACATAGTGCTCTCGCCATCGGTATTTGCTGAACTTCGCGATGGGAAAAATGTTGAATAACTATATTGGGATGAAGAATGATCTATACAGGGTGTATCTAAATAACACCGAAATAATTCAAGGGATGATTCCTTGTGATATAATATGATGAATAAAGGTCATATAAACATGTGTCCTAAACTTGCTTCGTTTTCGAAGTACAGGGTCACGTCCTGATTTCGAATCCGAAGTGATTTTCAACCTATCTTGCCTCCTAACATCATTTTCCGGAAATTTTGGTGGGTCCATGACCCGAGCAGTGTATTTCACTGAAGATTACCTCACTTTGGTCATAGTTGGTATATATATATCTATCGCTCCTTAAAATTGAACAGTTACGTTAGATATACGGGTTGATTCCATTAGAAAGTGACATGCAACTGTTTATATTTTCAAATACATCCAGTGGGATTGAATTTTATTTTATGTTGAATATTAGAGTGTGTTTTTTTATGTGATATATTTGTTTTGTTTATTTCAAATATATATATTTTTTTAGTAGGCATACTATAGGTACTTTCTTTTATATAATTCTGAAATCTGATCAACCCTGTATTTGTTTCAATTAAATGGCATCAGTAGATAGTAAATAGAATGTTAGGATAGGGACACATGTAAGCCATTTTGACAAATCAATATAGGTATTGTATATAGTTTCGATACAAAAAAAATCTCGATTTTTCTCATTCTACGAAGAAGAATCGAAAAATGTAATAAAATATAAGGTGTTCCATTTTGAATAACAAAGCTGCTACTACTACTACTACTAACTACTAATAATAATTTCTAGTGAAGCAGATGAACATTATCGAAAATAATTTGAATAAAACGAGCGTCCTCGCCAACAAAACATAAGCATATAATATGTACATATAGTTTCATGATTTTCGATGAGTGGTTCGCTATTTACATGTAGGACTCGTCGTGACATAGCGAATTATTGCAAATCAAATCATCACTTTCATTATCTGATAGGTCGCAGTTGATCACTTGATGCCTATCAAATGTTTCTTATTTATTAGAAAAAAAAATGTTGAAATGTGGTCAAGAAAACTGTTGGTGGCCCACCCCGTACTGCAAAAGTATATTGTATCATAGCTGCCTGCTTACGTCTCGGTCTCCCCGCCGCTTAGGTAACGATCCGGCCTGTTCGGTGAACACACGGGTATGATCTCGAGAGCAATCGACACTTTCGGCAGTATTTGCTTCTTCAAGAATTCTATGCCGATGCTGAGACCATCTGGCCGATCTGAGCCGACCGAACCGATTCAGTGCGCAGCGATGCATTGAGTTACATGCATAGCAAAATGTGCCGACCGTGCCGAGCCGAGTCGACCGATCCGAGGTGTCAAGTCTGTGGTTTGACCGGACACATAATGTTCAGTATATGAAGTCTGACCATCAATCTGACCAACCAGCAGTTTGGGTATATCGGTCACGTTTCAAACCTGCCCACACATTTACCACGTCAACTTCTGGATGAGAGTCAAGTCAGCCATTTACCATTCTGGTATCACCACTGAGGTCAGACGGATGACTTGACACAGCCTAAAGCCTGTTACCCCCAACTAATTTTCGGGAAATCAGGTACATCGTGACGAAATTTGAAAGGTCATGTAGGAGATACACCGAATTTTTTTTTTGTAAATTCAACAAAATATGAGTGTCATATATCCACGACAAAATATATTTTGTCACCGCAACAAATGTTTTTTGTCATTTCATTCATTTGAATTGACAAAATATTTTGCTGAATAATATTGAGAAAAATCCAATAACTGAATTTCAAAACTAAGAGAAATCAGAGATCAATTTCATCAGTTGATTCGAGACTATTAACTTGTATAAGCGTCATAAGAAATCCTCGGACAGCCTAATATAATTACATAAACGAATGTTTTAGGTAGGTATAATGTACACCCCAATCGAGGCAAGCGTAGGAAGGTTGGAAGAAACGCCACCTGGTGGCAAAAATGCAAATAGATGATCATTCAACAAAATATTTGTTTGATATATAATGTATTTGGGGGTTCTGTTCAACAAAGTAATTTGTTTGAAATAACTACTTATTTCTTGATGATGATATGTTAAATCAACAAAATATTATGTTGTCATAATCAATTCAATTTTGTCGAATAGAAAAAACCTTCGATTGGTTGCCCAATAAAATGATTGTTGACTCAACAAAATATGATGTTGTATTTAGTTAAAACTTTGTCAAAATTAATTCAATTTTGTCGAATAAACAAAATGCATAATATGAACAAAATTTGTTTTATGTCAACTATAAATTTTGATGAATGAAATGAAACTTTTCTTCAAGTAAGCAAATATTTCAATCAAATTATTTTGTCTCTTTGAATAGATTGCTTATTTGTAATGAACATATATTTTGTTAATTTCGCAAAAATGTGTTTAATTTAACAAAAAATAAATGACCAAAATTATTTTGTTGGTGCAACAAAACTTTTTTTTTTCGTGTAAAAACCTACTTTTAATAGAAAAATTACTGCTTTGACTTTCGAAATGGAGGCTTGGCACCATTTCGTATGATGTATTTAAATAAAACACCCCTTCTTTATCCCATGTTTGACCCCTAAATCCAATAGTTCATCGAAATCTTAATGTTCGAAAATTGTCATTTTGGTTATTTCAAACCAAGACGAAAACTGTAAGGTTGCTTTCAATCAAGTTTGCTTTGGAACAAAATTAGGGTGTTGTTATTGTGACAACGATTTTTTTCCGAAGCAAATGTGATTAAAATAAGCAACATTCGAGTGTTTGGTTGAGTTTGAAATCCAAAATGTCACTTTTCAACATTAACATTTCGAAAACTATTAAATTGGGGAGGTTAATGTACTCGATGAAACTGTTGAGAATTATGAGAAAATTACGAACATGGAATGAGATTCCAGGTGCTCCATTTGAAAAAATAATTCAAGATGGCGCTCGACTGCCACTTTGAATCTTCAAGCTGACATTTGTTCTATAAAGAAGTAGAATTTCATCTTCAATTTGACCCCTTCAAAGTTCCTTGCACTATATCAGGTGGTTCAAAAATTAGTAGAGGGAAAAGAACTTTAGATGTACGGGCACTGCATAATCAACTCCTTCTTCTGCTTCTTTGATATAAATATATTTCAAATTCAATACATCGATTCAGTGTTATGGATGGAGTCATAGGTTATAAGATATACAAGAAGAATAAATTATAACTTTTTCAACTAGGGAAAAAGGCCAAATACTCAAAGTGGAATGCATTGGTCACAAAGAGAGAAACTCAAAGTCATTACCACATACTAGTTCATAAAATGAACGACAATGGTCGATAACGAGAGAAAAAACAACTACTTTCCTAGCTATATGCCACGCAGAACATTGCATTACATCTTCCCGAAATCTATGCGATAGTTCGTATTAACGAATAAAATCGCAAGTGTTTCCTTCCTAAACGCTGAGCTGCGCTTAAGTGGTTCAGGAACGCTGACTACCTGCAGACCGGTTTCGAGCTCTTGGCTCTCATCAGTACAGGGCTGTCCCAGATAGCTTCTTGACCGCTATCTGGTGCGAACCTGACCCAACGTAAACGCATCTCAGTATTTATACCATACGAGGCGTTCGACGTCTGCGAAATGAAAACGCGAACACCGAACGCCATCTGGCAAAGAAAGAAACACTTCAGAACAAAATCCCATTTCAGATGAAATGGGAGTGGCTGGTATTTTTGTTATAACTTTTTGTTGAAATTCCTTGGTATTCCCTGAACATCCTTGGGGTTCCTTGGGATTCCCTGCAATTCCTTGAAGTTTCTTGGAGTTACTTGGAACTTCCTGGAATTCCTTGGGTGAGGAGAGATATAATACTGGAATTCACTAGAACTCCTTGGGTGGGTAGAAATCTTGGGATAGGTATAATTCTGGTCCATAAACATCTGGAATTCCATGGGATTCCATGAAATTCCTTGTTACTTTTCAGAATGCATTGGATACTGGGGTTTGGTGTACACAATTCTGGCCGCGGTTAACCCACAGAACAATACAGACAACAATTTTTTGAGCAACATGAAGGTACAACCATGGGTAATTGTTTATCACGTTTCTTGGCTGAACTGTTCATGAATCGGTTTGAAACGAATGCACAAGAAAAATTCGAGTATTTCCCTAGGGTTTGGATTAGATATGTCGACGATATTTCTGCCATAATCAAATTCACTATATGTCTATGTTTCATTGTTTGTTGATTGGTAAGCCTCATCGTCCTCCATAATATTTAACTTCCCATGTTGAAAACCCCTAGCCCCCTCATTTCCATGACTTCTTAGCATAGGCTGAAGATGGACATTGCATATGTCCGAAATATGTTCCTAATTTGATGTTTTCAAATTAAAAAGTCGTGGAGATGACTTTGTGCTTTTCTCATTGGATATGAAAGACGATTTGAATATTGCAACTTTAGAGCCGTGTCTAACTTAATCTATGTCCAAACTGAACAACTTTGTACTGAGGTGAGCTTGTTTGTATCGATATGTTTTGATCTTTTTTTTTTATTCGGAAGTGCTCGCAAAAGGTTGGACCTATAATCCCGTGGTGGAACTGCGAGCACTAAGGAGGGACAAGTATCGATGGATCCTCCTCTTGAAGGTAAATAGATTGTAGTTCGCTGGAAATGCATCTGTGGGTAGAGAATTCCACAGTGAAGATGTCCTACAAAAGAAGGAGTTCTTGAAATATGTTGTTCTAGGTGTTTCAATTTTGACTGCATATTGGTGTGAGACTTGAGCCAGCCGCGTTTGGCGAACAAAGGTCATTCCAGGGGGGACAGCTGATGGCAATTCAACACAGCATCGTCCATGATAGTAGCGATAGAAGAGTGATAGGTCTGCAACGTCTCTCCGATATTGTAAAGTTTGCAGTGATCTTATCAAAGTTGGGTCATTGATGAGTCTGATGGCTCTTCTTTGAACCGACTCCAGCAACCCCAGGGAGTGTTTTGGAGCTGATCCCCAGACGTGCGAACAGTACTCAAGGGATGGTCGAATCTGGAAGAGGAATCCCAGCTTTTGATAGGCAGCTCTGGCTATATTGGCAACATGGTCATGCCAAGATAAACTGTCAGATACCGTGATGCCGAGCATTGATAGTGATGAACTGATTGGTAAGGTTCTTCCAGCCATAATTGTATCAGGATCCGCACGATTAGCCTTCTTAGAAAAAACTGTTGCTTGAGTCTTCAAAGCGTTGAATTGTACGAGGTTCAAATTGCCCCATTGTTGGATCCTTTCCAAATCGTCGTTGCCTGTATGGATCTGACCTGTTGCAAACGTAGGCCTTGGTTGGTTTTTGCGGATATTGGTGTATCAGAGGAGTATGATGCTATAAGAGTGGTATCGTCAGCAAAACTGAAGAGAGGGTTTGTAGTCATGTGCAACAGATCGTTGATATGTAGTAAGAAAAGCGTTGGGGATAAAATAGAGCCCTGTGGTACTCTTGAATTAGTAGGCAGTGTATCTGAAGTAATCCCGTCAACAACTACATGAAGACTTCGATCTTTGAGGAAGCTGGTAATCCAACGGCATAGTAGGGGCGGCAGACCATAGGATTTCATAGGAAGGCAACTTGTTCAGGAGTGCCTGGTGCCATACTCTATCAAATGCTTTAGATATGTCTAGGGCAATAGCCCTAGATCCTCCGTGTTTCTCTAGAATCGATTTTATTCGAAAATGATACATCTGTTGAATGCGGAACAGGAGCACCTGTTTTCTGTGAAACGGTGTGGATTTTGATAATCCGAGATTGAATTGTCAAAAAATATGCATACAAAAAACTTTGAGCAATATTCAATGTAGTCCCACCCTGTATTATACACTCCTGAATGAAACTTTGAAATGGTTTCATGTTCACCGCATTGGACATTGAAAGTTTAGTTCTTATACGAAATTACATCATTTTATTACGTGGCGTTTCGGGAATATTCGAGATATATCATCTTCAGAAGCCAAATTCCTGGAGGCCGTAGCTTCCTTAGGAGACATTTCTCGATTCATGTTCATTGGAACATTTCTTCCTATTTTTGGTCGAAGAAGCCGTTGGTGAAGTTTGGCAGGCTACTTTTGGGACCCTGTATATTGGTATTTTCTTTCGTCATGATACCGACATACTCATTGAATCAGATAGGTATACATCCATAACACAAAATCGATGTAAGAATCAAATTTGAAATTTCAAACGATAGAACACTTCGTTTTCGAGGAAAAACAGAAAAACGAGACCAGAGACTTCAAATTTTGATGTCCGAGTACTCCATTCAGGGCATCCATTACTGGGTAACATTTTGAAATTTGTATACCAATTCAGTCACATAGCAGACCGAGTTTTGCTATCACGAAAAGCTATACAGGGTGGACAAAAATATAATCTATTTATATTTTCAACGTTGACACCCTGTATCTCAAAAGTTAGGATGTTTACGACATACCTTCATATGAAGTTTTATTCTTGAAATTAGTCGAAGAATCGGTCACTTCAATATTAGCATATCATTAAGGAACACCCTGTATATCTCTGAAAATATGTGAGATATCCCGTATCGAAAATGGGACAGCCTGTACAATAGTTTAGCCAATCTGCTGTACTATAATGAGCAATGAAATTGTAAGAAGTGGTAGCAGGTGACAGGTGGCATTATATTTTCATCGGCAATAAAAAAAATGGAAAAATTCACCAAACGATGTGTTCATCTATTGAAAAATTTAGGAAGTGTAGAAGCATTCTCCTTTCGCTTCTGCCTGTGGGCACCCATGATGAGAACATTCAAATGTTCCAGGAGGAACATTTATAAAGTCTGTTCGTTTGTGTTACTATGGCAATGCTCAAAACCAGTCATCCAGATATACCTTGATCACTCGATCTAATTAAATGGAGCACATTGCTCTATATCGAGAAGATTAAGCTAATTTTGCTATGTGTCATTGAAACAGGAATATTCATTGTGAAATTATTCGTTGTGGAAAATCTGGAGAGAGCGATTGCCCCCCTTTCCTCCTTCCTAAATTAAGCCCATGGGTGAGCCGGATCTTTTTAAATTCATCATTTTGCTAAAAATATTTTCTTCAACATAAATGAACAGACCAATTGAATCATTTTGTGCTCTGTGGACCTCCTAACCTACCTGACTGAGATTTTCTCCTATATGGATTTGTACGCGAATCCTGAATTTCATTGACTGGTTTGGTCTCGTCACTGTAAATTATGTCGTCAGGATCGACTGGGTCCACTGGGTCAACTGGGTCGACTGGGCTGACACCAGATCCACCTGAGATCGGTCCACTTGAAATTGGTCCACTGGAAATCGGTCCACTAGAAACTCCACCTTGATTTCCTGAACGAGAAAATTAAATGAAATACAATGTGGAAAAACAGGCCACTGAAAACAACTTGGTAATCTCGGATGTATAAGCACCAATGGGGGACTTCGTTCCAAGTTGACAAAACTAGAAACCTCTACCACTGTAGAAGCACAGTTTTAATATTAGAAGCAATATTATGGAAGTTTGATTACTCAAATGGCTGTATTTGGATGGAATCTGATTGTAGGAGTCTACTCATCCCACTAATAGAAGTTATTCAGAAGAAAAAGTAATTTTTGTGTACTCCAGTTCTCAGTAGTTGATGCACCTGCTTTCATTCTGAAATATATCATATCGTCATCAATTTATTACGTGTCACGTTTTTGTTACATATTTGAGATTATTTCATTTTTTAATGTATGTATCATTCTTTGGTAAAGAAGTTTGATAGTTGCAGTAGGAAGTATAAGAATATATTTCATTAGAGTGCTAAAAATTGACCCAGACATGCCTTCGTAGGAATTAAATAACGAAGTTTCAACGTGTTTCTGTTAAATAGCCCAAGGAATTGTCTCTAAGTGGATGAAACCATATAACTGTGTGGAAAAGAAGAAATCACAGTCGATAACATAAATTAAAACATTAGCCTACCTATGTACTAGAGTCAATGGATGATATTAGCTAGATAAGAGTTTGGAAACAGAAATAATAACTGTTATACAGTGTGTCCCACTTACCATGCTCACCATGGGTATCTTTTTAACGGTGAGAGCTACGAGGTCGGTTAAATGACACCAAATGTGAAGTTTGTCAAGGCCAACTATGATGTGAGAAAATATTTCGATAAAATCTATTCGTTTTTGTTTTATACGCAAAAAACAGATTTTGATCATTTTCATGTCTCCTCCGTAACTTCTTTATTTATGAAAATATTCAAATAGGAATTTCACATTCTCATGGCAGATTTCGAAAAAAATATGAAATTTATACCAACTCTTCTAGAATTTGAGATATCAGCACCAACTTTAGTTTTTCAAATGTAGGTCATAGCTCACTATGACTTAGTTACAAATAACTTTTTTTCCTCTTTCCGATGATATGTTGCAGTAATAGTTTTGTGTTGATAACAACGGAGTTATCGTCATTTATACAAAAACAAAAAATTATTTGGAAGCCGCCATCTTGAATTTATGAGTTTTAACAAGAAAATCATGATCTACATGTTGCAGATATTGATGTACTGAAGAGATATAAAAATGTCTGCATGGTTTTATCATGTTCAAAAAGTTCACCATATCTATGCTCGGTATTTCCATCAGTAATCACTCTTACATGTAAAATCATGCTTCACTATACCTAGACTGTTTGATTCAATAATCTATGAAGCACAGATCCGGCTCATTCTATAATATGGTCCCACATATGGGGTTTGGAACCCAAACATACGCTTATGCTCTTAGATTCCAAGAGCTATTTGCCTGGTGGGTGATGCCACACTCACCAACTCTCTGACCCCATTAGAACACCGTAGAAAAGTCGGCAACCTTTCACTCTTCTATAGAAACTCTTCCACGGGAAACGTTCTTTATAAATCTCTGCTATAGTGCTATCACTAGCAATATCAGTCAGACGAATTTGACCTTGAAAAATGTCGAACAACACTCTACCAAAACTCGTTCTTCTATAGAACGGCGAAGTTTTGGAATTCTTTGCCAATGGATGTATTCCCCAGGCAACCAGATGACGTTTCAGTGACGTCTTCTTACGTCAGTTGAATGACCAAGGTGACGTCAGGAGTTGACGTCGTATGACGTGACTAATGACGTGAATAAGTCACAGTCCAATGACGTCATATTGCTCACGTTGATTGACGTCATTCACTTACCAAACTGTGAAGTCGGACTGACGTCGAAATGACGTCAAAATGACGTTCAAATTTGGTGATGATACGTAAAAAAGTTTCCTCGAACATGTTGTGATAAACACCACTGACCTTTGATGACTTATAATATTTATTATGCATTGTTGAGTCTGCTTGGTGGTCCCTCCGGTGTCAAGTCCATTCAATCGTCTATTCAGCAGCGCTATCCTTCAGTACTCATCTCCATCAGAATGAAATCAGTTACTCGCATTTGTATAAAAAATTATGTAGTTTGTGTCGGCGAGATGTAAGCAAAGCAAGAAAAGTTTGATAGCAATTGTAGATTGTAGATGGGTCGTATAGCGTATAGGCTGGGAGACCTCTCGATCACTGCGACCTAGAAGATCTATTGTGATTTTGATAGCAATGAAAAGGATGTTAGCGAATTTAGCTCCACTTTGTTGAGTGACGTATATTTATGCGTTCTTTGTCACCAACAAAAATCTAAATGGCAAATTATTGGAAAATTTTCTGAATGACGAAACTCGCCAAATTGGTACGTCACACTGACATGATTTTTAGACGTCAAATATACGTCACTGCAACTTCATGAAAGTGACGGTTTCAATAGGTATACCCATATTACCATTCATATGTATTCATATTTTTTTTATCGCTTGGAGCGCACGAAAGGGAATCCCTATAATGTTCAAAGAACATCGTGCGTTCCTAGGGAGGATAGGGACAGGAGGTAGGTATTGGAATTTTTTTTGAACTTTTGGAGATTATATGTTGTTGGGAATACTTCCATGATTGGTTTCCGAGATATACAGGGTGTCAGAGTTTCAATAAGATTGTTCTCCTACTTTTTGGGTACATATAATTCCGAGTAATTCCAATAAAACCTACATGTTATTGATTTGGTTCAATGAGTTATACTTCTATTAACGTCAGTAGCATATATAGAAAATTACCAAGACGTAAGTACATGTTTCTATATTATATGTGTGTAAAATTCATGAAGAAAAGGGTTTTTCTGAAAAATTTTCGACACTGAAAATGCTCATCCTGTATATATAGGTACGTCACAAACCTAACGGTTCCACATGATAATGACGTGATTATCAAGTTCAATTAGAAAGTACGTCATAGTGACGTCATAAATTGGTGTGTGACGTCTCTGACGGAAAATAACCAATTAGAGACGTCACAGTGACGTTATCATTCGTCTTCTGAATGCCTGGGTCCCAAGAACTTATAACCTACGAGAGTTCAAAAATGTTCAACATCTACCTCCTCCCTCTGTCCTATCTTGTTACCCGCGATGTTTCACGAACATTATAGGAATTTTCTTTCGTGCGCTCCAAGAGGAAAAAAAGTATGCCTCTAGTTTCTTCGAAAGAAAATTATTCACCCTGTATTTGACTTACCTGGTGACGAAGCAAACGACGCTGCGAAACCGTCGAAGTTTGGCAAGAGCGATTGGAAACTTTGGCCTATTTGCGGCACAGTTTGAAGGAACGAGGATAATCCGTTCCCAAAACCGTTTCCTATTTCTTCAGGAGTTGGAAACAGGCTAGTAAAACTTGAAACTGCACTACTGCTAAGGAATCCTGCGAAACAACAACAATCGAAATTAGTACTAATTTCATGTAAACTCTGTTCGTAGATTTCTTGTGACGACAGTGGTGTACAAGGGCGTAGATATGAGGGGGTAAAGGGGGGTAATCACCCATTCTCCAGAACCATAAGAAAAAACTCAAAATAATACGAGATCCCAACTGAAACAGTAGATGAAGACAGAATAAATCTCAAAATCATCTTCACGACATTTAATAGGTGAACAATGTTATGTTTCAAATAAGGACATATGTTTCGGGCTTATAATAAGCTCATCATCAGCCAAGGTTTATAACGTCCCAAAATAGTCTAAACTTGTAACAGGAATATGCATGGTTATAGATAATATATTACTTACATGAGGATGAAAAATGTTCTTTGAATTTGTTGAATCTTGTTAAATTCAAATGGTGAGCATAGTTAAATCATAATATAAAAAATAGGTATATTTATTTCAAGAGTTGCCTTCACCCTCTGAGATACCCTCAGGAGGTTTTCATTAGGTGAAAAATCAAAAGTTTGACAAATAAAAATACCTGTTATTTATATTATAATTTTACTATGTTTACCATTTGAATTTGACAAGATTCAACAAATTCAGAGAGAAGTTTTTTCTTCACTCAAGAGGCTACGATCGACAACGAGCCAAAAGAGCCCTAATGTTGGGTTAGCATTGATGTACATTCATAAAGATATACAGGATATGTCACGACGAGCTTACACTACCTGTATATCGAGAATGGGCGTGTACACCTTAGTAGAACTTTTAACTCAAACCATGTTTATAATGATCGTTTTATACATAAATAATGATTGACGACATAATCCGATCGAAAAATTAACTGGAATGTTTTATTTTCGGACATAAATAATAGTACCTCCTGAAAACGGACCCTCTTATGACGTAGAAACCTCATCTCGCCATAGTTAAAAGAAAATACCAAACGCCCGACGGAGACTGAGGCAACTGATATATTAATTCTTTCAACTGTGATCTCTCGCTAATTCACTCTTCAGAAATCATGTATCATTCATCTCTGTCTGGAATAGTCTTGTTTCAGTATTAGGGTTTTGACGTCACATCATCGTCTCGTTTCCAGAGGACCGAAAAATCGGAGATTTCAATAATTTTTTATAAAAGGTAGGGAGCTCACAGCAAGAAACGGTTTGCGGTGGTGAGCTAGTTTCGGTGATTTCTATCGAATTATGAAATGAAAATTTTTTGTGATATAAGCCCATTAGTCGGGAAAAATACAAGAAGATATGCATGCTTATACAGGGTGACATAGAAAAAAGTACATTGTATAGTGCCACACAATAGAGGACACTAAAATAAGGTAAAGAGTTCCTATGAACATGGGTCCGCAAGGCCTTCGGTTAAAAGATACGAGGTGTTGAATTTTAATGGAAAAATGTATTGAAGTACTTACAAGGGCAACAATTTGAACATCTTCAAAAACTTAATGTTTTGTTCTAATTAATCATATTTATCATCATACCATTAAAATGTAATTGTTGTAGTAGTTATCATTGTTTTTGCAAAAGTTACTTTGGCGCTTTTTGAATAATTTGCGTGTATTGTCGGCTTTTAGGAGCATTTGTACTGGAACCATTGCTTCTAGCGACTTGGATAAGGTATATCTTTCTTAAGTATAAAAGAAGGAATAACAAATTTTTTCCGTCGATAATGACAAATAAGTTACGTCAATAGGGATTGAACCCTGTATGTAGCGCCCTCTATCAGTCATCACAAAACTAAGATCATATTTGAATTTAGCATGATAAAAAACCCCTGTATACCACATTTTATCCATTTCTTGCGTCTCTGGCTGAAGATATTCAAAGAAAACCCAAAAAAAATTTGAATTCAACACCCCGTATCTTTTAACCGAAGGCCTTGCGGACCCATGTTCATAGGAACTTTTTTCTTATTTTAGTATCCTCTATTGTGTAGCACTATGCAATGTACTTTTTTCTATGTCACCCTGTATTTTACAAATTGACAATCCGTTCTCTTCATTCAAAATAATTTCAGCAATGCAGTGTTACCGCTTCTATCAAAAAGTAGCATCAACTTTGTTATTTCGGATAGAATACCCTGTATTTCATTGCCTTTCAATATATTCTCGTTGAAAAGCTGATTTCATCGATTCATCAAACTTGGGGTCTATCGGAAATGATTACAGAGATATAGGATGTTCAGAATCGAGATTTTTCATCTTTAGGATTTGTTTGTGTCGAAACTATTCATTATCGGCCAAAACGGCTCACATGTCCCCAATCCCAACTTTTGATTTACTATTTACTGATATTTAATCGGTGAGCCGTTTTGACCGATGATGAATAGTTTCGACTAGGCCTGGGAAAAGAAATCGATATATCGATAAGTATATCGACATATCGATATATCGAATAACAATATAGAGTTCCAAAAATATCGATATATCGATAGTTATCGATAACTTTCGATATATTGATATATCGATAAATATCGAAATATCGATAAATATCGAAATATCGATAAATATCGAAATATCGATAAATATCGAAATATCGATAAATATCGAAATATCGATAAATATCGAAATATCGATAAATATCAAAATATCGAAAGCTATATCGAAATATCGATAACTATCGATTAATCGAAATATCGAAATAACGATGTATTGGCATATTGATAACCATCCATATATACCGATATATAAGGATTATGAAGTTAACGATATATCGATAACAATCAATTTTATTCGATATAACGATATATCGATTTATCGAATAACAATATAGAATTCCAAAAATATCGATATATCGATATATCGATAGTTATCGATAACTTTCGATATATTGATATATCGATAAATATCGAAATATCGATAAATATCGAAATATCGATAAATATCGAAATATCGAAAGCTATATCGAAATATCGATAACTATCGATTAATCGAAATATCGAAATAACGATGTATTGGCATATTGATAACCATCCATATAAACCGATATATAAGGATTATGAAGTTAACGATATATCGATAACAATCAATTTTTTCTCAACTAATCGGTAAAAATAAACTCATTTTGATTGTGTGACTCTTAGACGCTTTCATGATATCCAGACAAAAGTAATAATGCCGTACAGCAACATAATTTCGTGAACAATAAAACGACAAAACTATCTCGAATATTCAGAACATCGTGATTTATCGATATGTTCGATCTATCGTTATACCGATATTTATCGTATTTATCGATATATCGATATATCGAACTTATCGATAAGTTTTGACTTATCGCTAATCGATATGTGAAATCCAATATCGCCCAGCCCTAGTTTCGACACACAAGTTTTTTTTTATCTCTTGGAGCGCAAAGAACATCGTGCGTTCCTAGGGAGGATAGGGACAGGAGGTAGGTATTGGACACCCTTTATATCTTTTATCTCTTTCAATAGACCCCAAGTGCGATATATCGATAAGATCAGCTCTTCGCGGAGAATCTAAAAATGCGATTAAATAGAGGGTGTTCCGATCGAAACATCAATATTGTTACTACTTTCTAGTAGAAGCGGCAACCCTGCATTGTCGAGAATATTTCAAATGGAAAGAGCATATTCTAAAATATAAGAATACACATTTTCATGGATTTCTCCCGACTGATTCTCGATATAGTGTGTAAAATATGCTCTCTATAATTATTAAGGTAGTTCATAGTCAAATGTTTTTGAAAAAAGTTGATAAAACTAAAATGTTTTTTCGCTTCACCCCCCCGGTGTACCGATCTTATCTTTTGGAGGGGTCGAAAATAAATGAGCCGAATTTGCTGCTTGGAAAGACATCCAGATAAAGGCAAATTTGATACTTTAGTGTCTTACCAACTTTCAATAAGTAGGTTGGTATCACGTGTGGAAAATATGTGATCCAATTAATACCGGAGCACCATTATAAAATCTACAGTTTTCAATCGACTAATTTTTTTTTGTTGCAGCAAAAGGAGTATTGAAAGTTCTAGGTTCGAATTACGAGATACACATTATGAATAACATCAATTGGAGAAGGTGTAGCAACAAATAGAATATACCATACCTACCCACATTAGTAGAACAAAATAAAAAATTTTAAAGACGAAAAACTTACCATTGATGATGGGTCTGTTTCCACCAAATGGCTTATTACCTCCGGATGACGATGACTCATCTTCATCGTAGCCTGATTGATGACTCCCGAAAACAGGTTTGTGTCCACCGAATGGCTTGTGTCCACCAAAACCAGGTTTGTGTCCACCAAAGCCAGGCTTATGTCCCCCAAAACTGGGCTTATTGTGGTGACTGCCAAAATTGGGTTTGTGACTGCCTATAGAAGGCCTGTTGATAGTGCATGTTCAATTAGTAAATTTACTACATGAAGGTACGAAAAGCAATTACGTGCTTTATACAGTGAGTCTCACTTTTAGCAGCGATTTCAAAATTCTAAATTATATCATTGTTATTGTAATATCAGGCATTTTTTTATGAATAAATATATCTGAAAAAGGTAGGCTTCAATTTACAGGATGATATCATATACAAGGCGTTTTTCGTTAGGAATCATCCATTTTATGTGGAACGAATCATTTGAACAATATTATATTGGTTATATGTAGTGGTCGACGGAGTTTCATCTGACTCTCTTATCATAAATGCTGGTGTTCCGCAAAAAATAAAAACTAGACATGCTGGAAAAAGATTAAACAGCTGATGAAAGGTTATTGCATGAACACCAATATATTTTCAAGATAAAATTCGTTTAAATCTTAATTTCATTATAATTTAGTTGATGTTGCATGAATCCACCTTAAGTGAAGCTTCGAAATTGTTCGAGCAGCATATTGTAGAGTTGTATATTCTTATTAGTTGTTCTTTTCAACCTTCAAAGGAGTGCTCTAGCTTTCAGACACATGTTGATAGGAACATGTTTTCTTATTTGTGTCTGCAGCATTACCTCCCAGTAATTCTGGGACTCCCTGTATACGATTAGCTGTCAAAAAAACAACACCAATCAATAACAGATTTCAGAGTTCTGCCACAGTTGCTGTCTTGAACGTAGTGGGTTTAGAAATATAGAACATTAGCGATAACAAAAATGGAAAAAACTACAAAGCATCTGTTGTCGAAACTTTCTGGATTGGATCCGCAAAACTTATCCAGGAAAAATATTTCAGGCAGAATAATGGGAACATTGATCGATTCACTGATATTGAATTTAAGACCCCGCGAGAAGTATGTGCATGAAATTGCAAACATCGATAACTTCAACATATTCCTCAAGAAAGAAAAACAACATCTGCGCTGCCCTCAAAAAAGACGAAAGAGATAAAACAATAGCAGCATGGGACGAAAATACTTGGCTTACAAGTTTTATTCTAACACTCTGCTAGCTACGAATTGGCATGGGGAAGTGGAGAAACGCCAAAAGCAGTACAATATTTCAGAGAAGAAATAAATCATTATGAAAATCAAAGTGGAAGGATAAAACCATAGATATAAAACATAATCCAATAATTTCTAAAATCGCGAAATAAAATTGACACTGACAATTCATTTCATGTATGAAAAATCCCACAAGCCGCTTGATTTTGTCATTATGAAAGCGAAAACAGTTTTTCGTAACTTTTCCAGCGACAATAACGGAACCTATACAACTAGCCATAAACAAATGTTTGATACCGAATTACACTCTAGCTTTTTTTTTGTCGAAGTAAACTTGGAATTTATAATTACCACCTGATAGGAATAAGAACCATCTAAAAATTGGATGGTGATATTTTCTTCAATCCTGAAGAGAAACCATACAAAATAACTTGAAGTTGCTACTCATTCGAGTTCATGTCTCAGGATGATACAGGGTGTCCCATTTTCGATGTCCTTACGGTATATCTCACTTATTTTCAAAGATTGAGATTTGCGGTTTTGGCAAACGTTGGCTACTTTTTCATGAAACTCACGATACCGTAAACAAAATTTTCATAACCTGCTTCGTTCTTGAGGTACAGGGCGAAATTGAAAAAGTATTTTGGGACCACCCTTGTATCTCAGCTCTCTGTCAACTCATCGAAAAAGAAAAAACTGTCGTTCATACATTTTTTCACGCCGAATCCAGTGGCGTAGTCAATTTTCAGAATAAACTGTAATTATTCAGATATAAACCGATCGTTATGTTTTTTAAATGAATCACCCTGCATATTTTTTCATATTTGAAATATCGATGCTCCCCCACTTGAGACTATACATATAACACTTATGGGGTATTTCAAGTATCAGCCATGAATTTAGATAATTTTTGGGTTTTCAGTAGATATTTCATCGATGGGCCTTGTAAATATGTGGCAACATTGTCCATATCCTAAATTTCCATATTTGCCTTGTTGCATATATAGTGTTTCATCACATACTAATTTCAATTTTACCATCATTCAACACTTACAAATATGCAGCACTATTTATCGAAAATGCGACAGGCTGAACAATTTCCTATCAAATTTATCATACATGAAATATCATTTGCATCGCTATACCCTACCTGTTATTTAACAACGGTTTCTGATCATCAGCCTGGAAATTGCCTCCATGATTGGCTAGGTCGCAGTTGACGTTGACCTGGTAATTGAAGTCGATGTTGAAGAAAGTTCTCCCGTTGCCATGGCAGCCTGATGGTATCGGATTCGACTGGTAGTTTGGTCGTTTTCGGCGTCTGAGATATTCGTCATTTCCTTGAAAATTGTTCGGTAGATCTTTGCCATTTTCTTCGATCAGAATCGGCGAAGTAATCGGTATCGTTTGGAGAATTATGCAGAGGATTATCTAGAAAAAAATATGGAAAAAAATTCAATTGAATCCTGATAGTATACATAATACAGTAAGATTTACCTAAGATTGCGAATAAACAAATTATAGTTTCTTCGTTGTTATTCTGACCAGATGATTTCGAATCTGATGAACAGATTTGAGGTTACGAAAGAGCGAGTATTGCACCGTAAATAAAACTACTACCCAGCGAGCACAAATACATCTCAGAGACGTTAAAAGTACGAGATGTTGAGACATAGAACCTCCACTGCGATGTTCTGTTCATACAGGAATAGAACATTTCATAGAACAGCCAATGTCCGCCGCAGGCGGCATTTATAAAGATATCCTTGGGATGTCACAAAAATACGTTTTCCCTAGTTTTTTGATAGGCTTTTTATGGACATAACATAACCTTTCCCAAGCGTTTTGCGCACATTCATTCGCTGCAAATAAAACATTCCTGGTGGATATATATCTGAGAAGAGAAGAATAAAATTAAAAAAAAGCTCTTCCTAGCACCTTGTCCACTGAGCCATGGGAACCGTATTGATGAATGGTATGAATAGAAAGATGTCAACCTGCACTTAGTAAGATATTAATTATTTGCATTGAGGCTGAGAATAAGGGTGAGTCAGAAGAAACATTATAAATATTGATACAAGAATAACATCCATATCATATTTTGATACGATTCTGTATGTCGAATTGAATGTTCATGGAATATTTGTTGCCAGGATGAACATATTATTCTATGATCATTCTGAGCAGAACAGAACACGTTGTCAGAATATTATTCGTAAAGTATATTCTGGTGCTGTTTGGGATACTATTACGAATTATGGAGGTCGTTGGTATTATAACTAATACCTAATGGAATGAATAAAAAAGACACTGCAAATGCGAACAAGAACAACATGCAAAATCGGAAAAAAATTAGAATTTATCGTATTGTGACGTGAGCATGAGAAATTGTGGTGGGGCAAACAAAGAAATGGCTCAGAAGAACAAAAACAATAATTTCAATATCCTTCAAAGACCTCTTTGGGAAGTTATATTACGTCTCAAAAAAACATCCGCTTGCCAATATTTTTAAAAGATCCCAAAACATCCCAGGGATACCTCTCAGTAGGCACACAAAGAAATGCCACAGAAGAACAAAAACAATACTTAAATATCCTACGAAGACCTCTTTGGGAAGTTATGTTTCGTCTCAAAAAAACATCCTCATGCCAATATTTTTAAAACATCCCAAAACATCCCAGGGATACCTCTCAGTAGGCACACAAAGAAATGCCACAGAAGAACAAAAACAATACTTTAATATCCTTCAAACACCTCTTTGGGAAGTCATATAACGTCTCAAAAATACATCCCCATGCCAACATTTTCAAAACATCCCAGGGATGTTTGTGCTCGCTGGGTAGTTTGACCCGAAAGGGGGATACATTTTTTTCAGTTCAAATGAAAAGTAGCCTTTTTCTAAATGACTTCTGGAATATCTTTTCTATAATATATGTCGGTGCAGTTAGGTTTTATTATAAAGAAACTGTTATAGTTTCACTATTTATTTTTGAGTTAATGTGAACTGTTTATTCGGTTATCTTGTTCATATATTCCCACGATGCTCAATTCAAAGTTGAAGGGGGAAGAAGACTTTTTACGTCCTCACTGTATGAGTATTGAGTAACATAGTCAAGTAACTGTTCAGCTGATCTTCGATGGCGAAAGCGGAAGCCATTTTTTTAACGCTTGGAGCGCACGAAAGGAAATCCCTATTATGTTCAAAGAACATCGTGCGTTCCTAGGAAGGATAGGGACAGGAGGTAAATATTGGATTTTTTTTGAAACTTCTGGAAATTATATCTTGTTGTGAATACTTCCTCAGGCAATGAATTCCAGAGCCATGCCGTTCTGTGGATGAAGGAGTTTTGGAAAAGTGCTGTTCGACATCTTTCGAGGTTGACAACGAAAGGATGTGCTGACTGGGCTTGTCTAGTTCGTCTGACTGGTATTGCTAGTAAAGGGATGATAGCAGAGATTTCCGAAGAACATTTCCCGTGGAAGTATCGATAGAAGAGTGAAAGGTCGCCGACTTTTCTACGGTGTTCCAATGATGTCAAAGAGTGAGTGAGTAAGAGCATCAGCGTATGTTTTGGTGCTGAACCTCATATGTGTGAACAGTATTCTATAACAGGCCGTATCTGCGCTTTGTAGATCATGAGAAGCTGTTGAGGTGTGAAGTAGCTTTTCGCACGGAACAAGAATCCGAGTTTTTGTGAAGCAGCTTTTGCGATGGATCTGACATGATTATCCCATGAAAGAGTGTTGCTGATGCCATATTGTCTATCATTGATGATTCCTTCAGCTTTCCAGATGTTTGATAAGCTCAATGTTTATTGTTACTGTTACTGTGTTGGTGGTTACAGGAATTTCGTTGGGGTTCATGTTAGGATTCCATAAAAATGTTTTCGCTGTTCAATCAGATTAATCTCATTTGATACCCAAATGCGTATTTATTCAGAAAACATAGAAGCGACACAATAAATACGCTTCATTGACTGTAACTTTTACGAATAAATATTGCTTTTATTTCGTCGAGGAATGATGTTATAAAATCTCAGTAAAAGTCATTGAAATAGTTTGAGTATCTTTGAGGTTTAAGAGTATGAGTGTCGTTTATATTAGAGTCACTTGATGATATTGTCAGATAAGAGTTCGGACACAGAAATGACAACTGTTAGTGTTTTTGAATGTTTAGATTCATTAAGTTACACACCTTGCATTGTGACGAGATCACCATAGTCGCCCCGCGCTATTTCATTCAAAATTGTTTGATTTTGACAATAAATTTTATGAACGTCAAAATAGAAATATAATTTCATGAACTATTGAGGAAAAAAATGAAAATCTCCTGCTGTGTAATGAATTGTGAGAATTCTGAAGAATACCATTGTAATATAGGAAATAGAAAAGGACAGAAGTTTAGCTGTGTCTGATCGTTGATTGATATATTACGCTTACGCTGAGCGTAATATATCAATCAACGGTCTGATGAACTCTAGTTATATCGGATTCGCATTGACAGAGACGTATTGGAATTACTCTGTATAATCAAACCACCGCTGGCGAGCAGGCTTAATAGTTGTTTCGATCAAAATCTAATTGACCAGCTGAATCGCATGAAAACTAATAAAACAAGATACAACACCAATCACTACAAGGGTACATGCTACTTTGATAGGAAGCGTATTCAAATCCAAATTGAGAAAAGAACAATAGCAATCATGTGGCCGCTCTTTCTGCTCTGCTTCATGTGGGTGCGTAGCGCCATACCCAATTCTCATGATGCTCAATTCCCACCATGCCCACCTTCCTTGGATCCCCACCATGCTCACTTTTCATATATTCTCACGATGCCCACTTCCCACGATGCCCAATTCCGACGATGCCCAATTCACACCATGCCCACTTTTCATTCATTCCTCCGATGAATTTCAATATTCCAACATCATGCTTCTCGATATTCCACCCAAATTTCTGTAGGTTATATGCCTCGGGGAATACCTCCTTTGGCAATGTGTTCCAGAGCCTCGCTGTTCGTTGGATGAACGAGTCTTTGGAAAGAGATGTTCTGCAGGTTTCCAAAGCTACCACGAAGGGGTGCGAAGCCTCTGCTCGACGGGTGAATCTCGCGGAGACTGCCAAGGGAGGAACAATTGTTGATATTTCAGAAGCATCGTCCATGAAAAAAACTATAAAATAGAACCATATCGCCAACTTTTCTACGGTGTTCCAGAGAAGAGAGTGAGTTTGTTAGCGAGGCATCACCCACGAGACGAATTGTCCTTTTTTGGACAGAATCCATCAGTTTCAGGGTATGTTTGGGTGCTGCACTCCAAATATGGGAACAGTATTCCAGGACAGGTCGGATCTATGCCTTGTAGATCATAAGCAGCTGACTGGAAGTGAAATAGCTCCTGGCCCGGAAAACCAAGTTTTTGGGGTGCACTTTTAGCAATTGATCTCACGTGATTTTTCCAAGATAGGTTATTGCTGATAGTAATACCAAGCATCGAAATGAGTGTCTTCAAAGGTAAGGTTACTCCTGACAAGCTTATTTTGGGCAGGCTTTTCTATAGAGAAACGGCATGGGGGTGATTGAAACGGATTGAAACTATGAGGATTAAGTAAGTTTTACGTGTAGTTCACAAACCGTAGAGCATTGTACCCACTTCTGCAGAACGAATATTTACCTATTTGAATTGGACAGGACGATGTAATGTCACATTATTACTCGATCTCACTGTTATAATCACTCAACTCACCACCATAATGTCTGTCATCCACTGTTGAAAATCGAGTAAAAAATGCATGCACTGGAGACATGTAATAGCCTCTACTTTTTTTATTTGATGAGATAACAATTTTAAATTTACAAGGGTTATATGATCGATGATGGCGCTTTCCTTGACTCAATGATAATTTTCTTCAAGCACCTGTTTGATCGGAAGTAGACCCAACTTTGTTTTTCAAATAGCACCCTGTATATTTCTGCAGCCTATCTTATTCGCCTTGATATTCTCTATCCAACTATGTATCACAATTCGATATTCGTTCATTAATTGGCTGTTAAAATGCATATTATTTAAATACATGAAGTTGGCTGTGGCCAGAATACAATTACATTTCGATGCTTGATATAGGCTTAGAAATCCTAAGATCATTACTTAGACGATATTGTCAGAATATTTTCTATATCCTAATCGGTCCGAGATGATTGCGAATGATTTCATTGAGTTAAAAAAAATCATCCGAAATTAAGTCACGATATTGAGAAAACTAAAATAGAAACTCAGTTTTTTTCATTTGACTACTTGTGAAGAAGTAGGTGTCTTTCATTCTTGCCATATAGCCATAATATCACCGCCTACTTAGCGAGATGATACTGAAAATACACTAATGTAGAGTTATGAAGATATCCATTTCGATGCTTGGTTTTAATATCAGCAATAACCTCTCTTGGGAAAATCACGTGAGATCAATTGCTAAAAGTGCATCTCAAAAACTTGGCCAGGAACTATTTCACTTCCAGTCAGCTGCTCATGATCTATAAGGCACAGATTCGACCTGCCTTAGAATACTCTTCCCATATTTGGAGTGCAGCACCCAAACATACCCTGAAACTGTTGGATTCGGTCCAGAAAAGGGCAATTCGTCTCGTGGGTGATGCCTCGCTCACAAACTCACTCACTTCTCTAGAACACCGTAGAAAAGTTGGCGATCTGGCTCTATTTTATAGATATTTTCATGGACGATGCTCTTCTGAAACCCGTCGAGTTGAAGCTTCGCACTCCTTTGTGGTCACCTTGGAGACCTGCAGAACATCTCTTTCCAAAGACTCGTTCATCCAACGAACAGCGAGGCTCTGGAACACATTGCCTAGGGAGGTGTTGCCCGAGGCATATAACCTCCAGAAATTTGAGAAGAACACCAATTCCTACCTCATTTCCCTTGGTTCTCACGATGTTCGTTGAACATTACAGGAGAACACACGATAGCGCACAAACGAAATATTGAGCTCCAATTGGCGCTTTTCTTCCGAAGGCGACGATATTACCAAGTTTCATCTGTTACTTACCTATAATGTATATTCAATTACCTGAAATGGACCCACGAATTCAGAGAGATTTCAAGATATACTTAATGGGTTAATTTTGCTAAACGTGTTCATACATAATATCGCTTTTCGTGGGAACTAGAACATAAAAAAAATAATAGGTTGGCTACAAACAATTCGTGAGTTGATACGAATCAATCATTCAAATTCGGCGAATATATTAAATAATTATTCAAAACAAATCACTCACCACACTTAACATCATGTTGGGGTAAACACTTTGCTTAATTTCGTCAACTAAATGTCACGAGATCATACCGCGAACATCTGATTTGAATGCGAATATTTTTGCTATCGCACGCAGAAACTATATTTTTGAAAGCGAGAGTGTTTCAATTTCGCAAATTCGTAAAACATTATGCAATAGAGGTGGATCAACAGACACGATTTTAAGGAGGCAATAGCGTGGGCCTTTCTTACTCACTCTCTGTATTTTGTTATGTAATATAGAATAATCTTATATAATAATAGTTAGTCGAACACTTCCAGTTAACATAAAGAAATCAAATATCAGGTGTAGGTAGGTACTTCATTGAATGTATCATGTTATTGTGATGATTGAATCAATACCGAGTGATTTTGATATACTTATAAGTACCTAGGTATTCATGGTGCCCGTTTTTCGAGCTTCATCATGGAGATCTCAGTTATTATAAGAGATACGAGGTCGGTTAAAGGAGGGCATTTTCATGCTGACCATTTATCTGCAAGAAAATTCGATGTGTCATTTTCAGTTTTTGGATTATTTGAAGAAAACGAAAATTTGCTATTTCCGTTTTTATTTTTTCAAGCGAAAACTACAAGACCTAGACAACGGCCTTGTAACTTTTTTAATTCTTCGATTTTCGATAAATTCCGAACAAATCGTATACAGGGTGTCCCAAAATTGCTGGGACAGAGAGCTACCACGTGTAGAGGAGGTCAAAATAAGTTGATTGGACCCAATTTATTTATGTGCCAAAATGTACCGTTTGTCCGTGAGAAGGGTTCAAAGTTCACTTGAAAAAACACATTTTTGTACGCTGTTCAGGAATAAGTGGAACGAATTTGATGAAATTTGGCAATAGTGTATTTCAGAGGATTACTTTCCTTTTGGTAATCTAAGAAACCTAAAAGAAATTGTAGAAGGGTTGAAACCACCCTCACCCCCTGACGTTTTCTTCAGAACTTTTTTAAGGGTCATGATACGCTTCTGAAATTTTTTGAGATTGAAGACTCATCAATTACCTTCATTTTATCACTCTTGTAAAAATTTCGTATACCAAATAGTTTCGAAGAAAAAAAATTTTCTCTCAAATAATACTACCAGATATTCCTATTGTAATGGTACCCGCGGTAATAACAAAATTGAAGAATGTATTCAAACATTCACAGACAACGTCAACATATACTTGAATGACAATAAATTTGTTTCCTGTCGAAATCACGATTTGCCTTCGTTTCCACTGCCAACTAAGTTTTATATCACAATTTAATTAAACTTGTACAGTGCATCCCATTTTGGGTGAGACAGCTAGGTTTCTGGCTTGTTATTTAAGATAGAACCTTGCGGTTTCCACGATCCTGTCCTACTTTTTTGTGAAACTCAAGATGGCCTAATCAGATTTTGCACAACTGTTTCCGTTTATGAGATACAGGGCGATTTTGGAAACTTATACTTTTCGGACCCCTCCTTTATCTCCGAAGTTATCAGAAGTAATGCTGAGCTGAAAACTACGTCTGATACAGAATTCCGCGTAGAATCCAGTGACGCACTCACTTTTTTTTCTTGGGGTATGGTTTTGAATATACGACACAAACCTATATTTTTTTCAAAGGAACACCCTGTATTTTATCACTTCATTGAATTCGTTATTTTTTTCCCTTCAAAATGATGTATGATACTATATAGGTAGGATGTTCAGAAATGCTAAAAAAACACTAAAACATCACATAATGATGATTTCTTGTTAGTGGGCCATGGATTTCCCATATAAAAGAAGAATCAATCGGATAATTTTTATTTGAATTTTTTTATAGGAGAGTAAGCAAATAAAGATAATACACTCATCACTAACACGAAATACAAAACGTTGGTACCTACCTAATAGCAACAAATAAAAAATACAAATTCATAATACAAATTAGATACAGAAGAAATACCCAATAAAATATTTTTCATGAACAAATTTTCAACATTACATAATATCTTACTAATTGAACTGTTCGAATTGCTGTCCATTTTCCCTAATACATAATTGACAAACCTTCTCAATACGCCTGAGTGCATTTAATATTATAAAAGGGCGCCTTTGTAAATCTCGGAAAGCTGCCTCTGTTGATGCACGAAGTTCTTCGGGACTGTTGTGTCAATTACTGTATATTTCATTTTTCAAATAGCCCCACAAGAAAAAGTCTGATATAGAAAAATCAGGTGACCTTGGAGGCCACCTGATGGGTCCATGCGTTCCAATCCAACAACCCTGAAAATTATTTTCTAAAAACCCGCCCGATCAATCTTGAATTGTGGGCAGGGGCGCCGTCCTGTTGAAAATGTATGGAATTAAGGAAGGCGAGGAGAACATCTTCCAGTAGTTCTGGTAACACGTCTTCTAGAATTGTCAAGTACCTATTTGAGGTAAGGGATCCTTCAAAAATGCGGTATATGATTTTTCTCCCCAATATGAAACATGCCACATTGAAACCAAATCGACCCTGTTGTTGTCGTTCAAAAATTAAGTGCTGGTTTTCATCATACCAATGCCTTGTATTTTGCCTGTTAAATATACCAGCACTGCTTATATGTGATTCGTCTGACCAAATAACCTTTTTTGAAAAATCAATGTCTCTCTGAGCATGGTTCAAAAACCAATTGCAGAAATTCAAACGTCTTGCTGCATCACCAGGATATAAGTGTTGGACAATATTGACTTTGTTGGGTTTCAACTCATAATATACCTTGGGTCGAGGTTTAGAATATGCACCATAATTCTGTAAATTATTCTTTAGTCTGAATATAGTTGCTCGACTAGGTTGATACCTCTCTGAATATCTGAAAGTTTTCAAATCATGATGTAGGGAAATGTCTTATGAAATTCTCGACGTCATACCTGTTCAAATAGAGTTCCAAAGCTTCGCCAACGTTTTCATTACATTGATTGAAACATTGTATAATGTCATATTTTTCATTGTTTTCGAAAACCAAATCTCTTCCAGCCATTATCAGTTCTCAATTAACAAATTCACAAACAATTATTTCTACAATATTCAATATTCCATCAAACCCTTACACGATGATACACAATAATAATTCATAGCGATGACAGCTAGATCAAATTTGTTTTTTTCTTCTCTCTCCAATGCTCACTGGATAAAACAATGCTCCCAAATGCATAGTAGCCAGAATAACAACAAGGATGTTCGTATCATCCATGACCTACTACTGTTGATAATCAAAAGTAATATCCCTTTTATTGAAAAATCATCATTATGTGATGTTTTAGTGTTTTTTTAGCATTTCTGAACATCCTACCTATATAGTATCATATATCATTTTGAAGGGAAAAAAATTACGAATTCAATGAAGTGATAAAATACAGGGTGTTCCATTGAAAAAAATATAGGTTTGTGTCATATATTCAAAACCATACCCCGAAAAAAAAAAGTGAGTGCGTCACTGGATTCAACGCGGAATTATGTATCAGACGTAGTCTTCAGCTCAGCATTATTTCTAATAACTTCGGAGATAAAGGAGGGGCCCGAAAAGTATAAGTTTCCACAATCGCCCTGTATCTCATAAACGGAAACAGTTGTGCAAAATCTGACTAGGCCATCTTGAGTTTCACAAAAAAGTGGGACAGGAACGTGAAAACCGCAAGGCTCTATCTTAAATAACAAGCCAGAAACCTAGCTGTCTTACCCAAAATGGGATGCACTGTACTATAGGAATATCTGATGGTAGCATTATTTGAGAGAACATTTTTTTTCTTCGAAAATATTTGGTATACGAAATTTTTACAAGAGTGATAAAATGAAGGTAATTGATGAGTCTTCAAGCTCAAAAAATTTCAGAAGCCTATCATGACCCTTAAAAAAGTTCTGAAGAAAACGTCAGGGGGTGAGGGTGGTTTCAACCCTTCTACAATTTCTTTTAGGTTTCTTAGATTACCAAAAAGAAAGTAATCCTCTGAAATACACTATTGCCAAATTTCATCAAATTCGTTCCACTCATTCCTGAACAGCGTACAAAAATGTGTTTTTTCAAGTGAACTTTGAACCTTTTTCACGGACAAACGGTACATTTTGGCACATAAATAAATTGGGTCCAATCAACTTATTTTGACCTCCTCTACACGTGGTAGCTCTGTGTCCCAGCAATTTTGGGACACCCTGTACATTCATGTTTTGGAATGTCAGACTGTTTTCGTTTCCAAGAAAAGCTTTATAACATCCTGTGGCAAAAGCTAGTTAACTAAGCTTCATTACGTTAGTGTGGTCCCTTTTTAACACAATCGTTTTTTAGCTTTGTACTTGCGTTTTTTCAAGCGAAGGCGACAGTTCGTGCGAAAATCTACTTTACACCTCAACAGCTTCTCATGATCTACGAAGCACAAATACGGCCAGTTTTAGAATACAAATATAACAATTTGCACATACAAGGTGTTTATAGTTGGTCATTGATAATAATAATTTGTCCCAAATACGGACCTGTCCTCTCGTTTTCCAAATAGGTTGGGATCCAAAAATTAGGAGAGTAAGAAATAGTTGATTATTTCATGGTTTGAAAATGGAAAAGTACCATTTGGGGACGACAATTAATTTTTTTTTTTTTTCAATTTTGTGCCACCTCATAATCGAAACATCTAGATTTGACTCAAGTTAATAGGTATAAAAGTTGTATGCGGAAACACGAAATACATTCAGCCTGACTTATTTTTTCCTGCTCTTTCCAAATTTGTGAGTGAAAGTCCAAAATATTGATATACAGGGTGATGTTCCGACTCGAAACCTACTTATTAATTTTTTTAAGGCCGGACCTGGCATGAGACTTCATCTTATTTTAATATCACAAAAATGTATAGGGTGGTTCATAAGTTATGATTAATTGAAGAAAAATTAGAAAATTGATGAATCACCCTGTATCTCAGCTACGAAGAATGATAGACTCATGAAATATATATTATTTAGAAGCACCTCGGTGTCCTCCGTCTACCCTTACTCTATGCGCATTTCCCAATGAATCACCCTGTATGATTTCATACAGATCTCATGCAATGATCAAAATTTAATCAAAACACACCAGAGCTCAGGAGAAATATCGCGGATGTGCTATTATATCAGACTTAGTTATTGATAAG